ATTATAGAAAGAGGATGACCGACATGAGAGTTGCCAGAACTTAAAGCACAAACCAAATTATATGTGAGGAAATTTAATTTGGAACAGAGTGGCTATCAGGTTGCCATAATATAGGAAAATTGTTTTGTTGGCCATGTCTGTTGTTTCTCAATGAAAAATGTATGGAACAAGACTGGGTTTGGTGATATCAACAACCTTAATAAAGCATTGAAACGACATGAGAACTCGCAGACTCACATTATTTCAACAATGCAACTTATGTTCGGGAAATCTCCAACTGACTGTCAACTTGACAATCAAAAGCGCCTGACGATACTACAGCAGAATGAAAATGTGAAAGAAAATAGAGAAATAATGAAAGGCTTGATGGACATCATCTTCCATTTAGGAAAGTGGCAACTTGCCCTCTGTGGTCATGACGAAAGCATGGATTCTATCGACCGAGGTAATTATGTGGAATTAGTTGACTTGTTGAGGAAATATAATCATAAACTCAATATTCACCTTGAGAACAGTACAGTATATACAGGTTTATCGAACAGAATACAAAACGACCTTATTGACTCAATAAGTGATGTAAATTTTGGTGAGTTGATTGCTATCAGTTCGTTTATTAGATACCACTGCTTCCCTTACCAAAAATAGTACCGCACGCCACTGGTTAGTTTGATTGTCGTACGAAGATAGCGCCAGCAGAGTAGTCCACCAAAATGGCGTCTGACATAGAAGTGCATACAAAACGGAAATGCGTTATTGAATTTCTCACTGCCGAACAAAATGCACCCATTGACATCCATCGACGCCTGCTAAAGGTGTACGGAGACGATACAGTTGATGTCAGCACAGTGAGGCGGTGGGTAGTGTGTTTCAACAGTGGCGAAAGTGAAGTGCACGACAAGCCACGCCCTGGGCGTCCCTGCTCAGCTGCCACTCCTCCCGATGAACAGTGCCTCGATCAGCTCAACCGTACAGATCGGCGGATAACGACCAGCGAACTGTGTGCTCGGCTTAATATCGAAGTGGCATCACCACTACGAGCCGGAATCCAAAAGACAGTCCATGGAGTGGCGACATCCGGATTCCTAAAGAAAAAAGTTCAAGACACAACCATCGGCAAGGAAAGTGATGTGCACGGTCTTCTGGGATAGGCGGGGTGTGCTTTGTTGGATTTCCTGGAGCCTGATGAGACTGTTAATTCTGAACGCTACAAGACGACGCTGACTAAGTGAAAGCCCGCATTCCCGAGTCAGGCCAGAGAAGCAGATAACCTTCTCGTTTGCAACACGATAACGCTAGACCCCATATCAGTTTAGCGACAACCTCGCACATTTCAAAGTTTGCCTGGACATTCATACCACTTCCACCTAATAGCCCCGATTTAGCACCTTCAGACTTCCATCTCTTTGGGCCTATGAAAGATTGACTACGTGGGCAACATTTTCCAGACAAAGATTCTGTCATTGCAGCTGTAAAAAAGGGGCTAGCCTCTGCAGGCACAGACTTTTTACGGCGCGGCATACAGGCTCTTGTTCATTGCTAGCAAAAGTGCATAATGAATGGTGGTGATTATGTGGAAAAATAACTGTAAGTAGCTGAAATCTTGCTCTATTTAACTGTGTTATTATGCTTTCTGTGTCTGTTGTAGTTTTAATTAAAAGACAGGAGGCATTATATACGGAACACTCCTCGTACATTCATTCATTCATAGCATCACTCAACATTACAATAACATCTACATATGGTAAATTCCCCCTTATCTGGCATGTATGGGGAATGGGATCTGTTGGTTACATGAATCTCCTGGTGGTATAAGAAAACTCCTACAGAAAGGCAATGCACAGTCAAAACAGCATGTTTTTGTTTTACTTCATGCATAGGGTCTTCATAGGAGGCAAAGTAAATTGATGTGTAAAAGAGTTCAGATACAAATATTGTGTGATGATCATATATTCAACTAACCCCTCTTGTAATTGCACCTGTAGGAGGGACAAGAATTTGTAGCAGTTCTAGTGGCGTTTAAAAGAACTACCACATGGCACATGTACATTACAAATCTATTTTTGTATGACTATATAAAAAAAATAAGATTCTTATCAATATTCTGCCAGTTGCGTCAAAATTCTAGATGCTCGATGATGAATAACCAGGAGTTTTCTACTCAAGACACACTGTATGACATCAAACAAATGTAAGAAATGACAACAAAATTAGGCTGATACTGCAATATAGCCATGGTTAACCTGAAATGTTAATAAAAATCAGCATAGTTAACGTAACCTTAATTAGCAATTATGACTCAAATTCCCTGCTCACTTACAGTGTATTAAAATTATTTTAAAAAGACACTAGAACTTTTCCATGGAACATGCAATCAAAACTAATGCTGACATGGTGACCAATTGAGGTAGGATAGGCAATTCTCTGGATTTTACCATGCGTAGCAGGACACAAGAAATATAAGAAAGGAATTAAAATTCACATACAGAAAGAAATAGCCTTGTTTACACAGTTAAACATACATTTGCAGCAGGGAACATGAAATAAAAAAAAAAAAAAAAAAAAAAAAAAAAAAAAAAAAAAAAAAAAAAAAAAAAAAAAAAAAAAAAAAAAAAAAAAAAAAAAAAAAAAAAAAAAAAAAAAAAAAAAAAAAAAAAAAAAAAAAAAAAAAAAAAAAAAAAAAAAAAAAAAAAAAAAAAAAAAAAAAAAAAAAAAAAAAAAAAAAAAAAAAAAAAAAAAAAAAAAAAAAAAAAAAAAAAAAAAAAAAAAAAAAAAAAAAAAAAAAAAAAAAAAAAAAAAAAAAAAAAAAAAAAAAAAAAAAAAAAAAAAAAAAAAAAAAAAAAAAAAAAAAAAAAAAAAAAAAAAAAAAAAAAAAAAAAAAAAAAAAAAAAAAAAAAAAAAAAAAAAAAAAAAAAAAAAAAAAAAAAAAAAAAAAAAAAAAAAAAAAAAAAAAAAAAAAAAAAAAAAAAAAAAAAAAAAAAAAAAAAAAAAAAAAAAAAAAAAAAAAAAAAAAAAAAAAAAAAAAAAAAAAAAAAAAAAAAAAAAAAAAAAAAAAAAAAAAAAAAAAAAAAAAAAAAAAAAAAAAAAAAAAAAAAAAAAAAAAAAAAAAAAAAAAAAAAAAAAAAAAAAAAAAAAAAAAAAAAAAAAAAAAAAAAAAAAAAAAAAAAAAAAAAAAAAAAAAAAAAAAAAAAAAAAAAAAAAAAAAAAAAAAAAAAAAAAAAAAAAAAAAAAAAAAAAAAAAAAAAAAAAAAAAAAAAAAAAAAAAAAAAAAAAAAAAAAAAAAAAAAAAAAAAAAAAAAAAAAAAAAAAAAAAAAAAAAAAAAAAAAAAAAAAAAAAAAAAAAAAAAAAAAAAAAAAAAAAAAAAAAAAAAAAAAAAAAAAAAAAAAAAAAAAAAAAAAAAAAAAAAAAAAAAAAAAAAAAAAAAAAAAAAAAAAAAAAAAAAAAAAAAAAAAAAAAAAAAAAAAAAAAAAAAAAAAAAAAAAAAAACAAGAAAGAAGGCAAAAAGAAGTGGAATAAAAACAGCTGAAATACCAACAGATGGGACTCTACAATATGAGGCATTCTGTTTCTGTAGCTGATGGTGCCACTTTAGAGGACTGCCCTGCAATACTGACTGAGGGAAGAACTGGTGCTCTCACCATGGCCCCTTCCTTCACAGTAAATGGAGAAATTAAATTTTAAAGATCTTGAAAACATGTTATCCACAAAAACTTACAAATTCTAACGATGGTTGGAAGGATGTCAAATAGTAGCAGGTACATAAGCCTATGAGGTAGCTTATCCACCATGCTTCTCATAATAATCACTAATTTTTCAGCATTAACAAACTTCATTAATATTTCATAATTCTGACAGCCCACTTTCTGTATATTTCTGTCAAGGGTTCTCATTCTGATCAAACAGCTGAACCTCATCTGTCAATCTTGTTTCATACATTGGAATCAGTAAAGAATGGATTCTTTCTAGTGCTCCAGCATATATTCTGTATACCTTGTTGGCAGTCCTTGACTGTATACATATACAGAATATACTGAATAAGCAGTCAAGGACTGCCAACAAGGTGTCAAAAGTACAATGTTCCCACATCGTAACATCCATAAATTTACTAGGACATCACTTGATGGGAAGATATACAATCAAACTGATCATAAAGAAAGCAGTCTTCTGGGATGTGGCACCGTGTATATGTGGTGTTAACCGACGTTTCGGAGGAACGTATCACCTCCATCTTCAGGGTAGAAGGAAAAATAAGAAAATCCGCAAGCGAAGAGACCGTGAGAACCTGTACAAGNCTTCCATGACTTGTTGAGACAAATCCCCACCTCTCTGTTCATATAGTCGGGATGGAGTTCAATCTCAATGGCTTCCCTAATGATGCGATCCATATAATGGGTCTTGGTGGCGAGGATGGAGGTATTCTGAAGCTGAATGTGGTGTCCCAGATCGATGCTGTGTTCAGCTACGGCTGACTTGTCCGGATGTTCGAGCTGGATGTGCCGCTGATACTCCTTCAACCTCGTGTCCACGGAGCGGCCTGTCTGCCCAATATAGACCTTGCCGCACTTGCATGGGATACTGTATACACCCGGTGTCCTTAGTCCCAGGCTATCTTTGACTGGCCGGAGGAAACTGGATAATTTGTTTGGAGCCAGACCCACTGCTTTGAAGTTGTACCAGGATAGCACTCTGCTGATATGGTTGAATATGGTCCTGACATAGGGAAGGAAGGCAACTGAGCCCGGTTTGTCTTCAGGCTGGCTGATGTTGGGCTGACCATTGAGAACTCTGTGGATCTGCCGGTTGTCGTATCCATTCTTCCTGAATACATCCCCCAGGAGCACCAACTATGCATGTAGGTTGTCTTGATCACATAGAGCTCTAGCCCTGGGCACCAATGTGGAAAGTGCAGCTTGCTTGTTGGAAGGGTGGTGGTGGGACGCAGCGTTAAGGTAGAGGTTTGTATGGGTGGATTTGCGGTACACTCTATGGCCCAGAGAACCATCAGGTCTCCTGTAAATATCTATATCCAGGAAGGGGAGGTAGCCCTCAGTTTCAGTCTCCATTGTGAACTGAATGCAATGGTGGATACTGTTTAGGTGATACTGACCACCACCTGGTGGTAGTTGCTGTGTTGATGTTGTCAGTATCTTTCTCACGGAAGACATCTGTAACACAGGAGGAAAGTTTTGTTTAAAACATTAAACATTGTACACTATCCTGTCACTCGAAACCAGATCACATCCTTAAAATCTACAACTACTTCATCTCTTTTCCAGTCCTCCTTGTGGTTGCCTTCCAACAAGATTCTGTAAGCGTCTCTTCGTTTTCCCCATCTAAGTGACATATTCTGTCTACCATAAACTCTAATTATAGCATAAATAAAGGAATAAATATGCCCAAATTAACATATTAATGGCTGAAGGAAGTCTGTGTAAGATAGTCATGTACTCACTCCATATTGTTCTTGTGTTCAGAGAAGACACGTAGAATGAATTCCCCCTCTTCTTTCGGCTCAAATGTGGAAGGAACAATGCAATACACTCCAGGTGGCAATTTGAACCGGCAGCTAACCTCACGTTGATTGGTAAAGGGTGACCGTTCAACAGACGCATTGTACTTGAAGAAATTGAGGTCCAGTGGCTTTGGCAGATTGTCTGGATCTTTCAGCTGTCATATATAGAAACACATGCTGCATGTTAGACTGTATCAATTACAAAGATATAATGTGGAAAACAGATACAAAGTAAGCCTGAAAGGATGAACTGATTAATTATGTTGTTATATAAAATGTTGTTTCACCTAATGTGATGTAGGAAGATGAATGTAAATATGAGTAGATAAGGATTTCAAGGGAGGAAGTTGCAGCTAATTTCAAGAAAGTATCATGACATTAATGTCTGAGGAATGGACTTAGGAAAGCCATAACAAAAGTTGGGCTAATCAGTACCTCAGAAGAGATTCAAACCAGGAACCTCCCAATGACAAGCTTGAAGCGTGAAAGTGTGCCAAACTGCTAGGTGACGTGCATGCATGCACATGTGCATGCGCACACACACATACACACAGAAAATGTACAATAGTATAAGACTATGCTTTATCACAAAATGATTCCTCACTTAATTTCAACAGGTCTCTTCACCAGCACAGAAAGTTACATAACCATAAGTACAATGCTTGAAAACGTGCACTTGTCACACAACATTTTAAGGGCAATTTAATCAGGATGGATAAGCTGGGAGAAACATACAGAGCACCTGAGGGAGGACAGACACAGAACTTTGGTTGTAATATTTCAAGGGAAGAGCTCAAATGGAAGATATAAATGTAGATAGATAAGTCAAACTGAATTGGATTTTATAACAAGAAGTTCTGGGAAGAACAAATAGCCTACTTTCCTTTGATATTACACGGACCACAAAGAAAACAAAAACATTAGGAGGGATACAGAGACACACAGCAAGGTGATCCCATCAGCTCCCTAACAAAAATTAGGTGGGGATACACAGACAGACAGATGATCTCATAAGCATCCTTTTTTTAAACATAGGGAAAGAAGGCTAAAAATAAGGTGTAAGATATGAAGTGGACTGAACTGGCTCAGTATGGGGTTAAATGGTGCACTGCTAAGAAAGGAGTTTACTTATTTTCATCATGTCACGTTGGAAAACCTGCCACAGTTGGAAGGACAATATGAAAATCTTAAGGTGAGTACTGGATTCATCTTGTCCAGGATTTAATCCAGTGGAAGCCTTCTGCACATGCAATACTAAACCTCAGACTTCCATAAAAGGGACATTTACCAACTTAGCAAACACCAGCTCTTCCTCAAGAAGAACTATGCTCCATGGGGTGAGTGTGTGAGTAGTCACCGACTGAGTGTGTTCAGAACCGTTGACTCAGCATGACATGATACGCATGCACCAACCAGTGTACAAACAAAAGCCTGTGTGGGCAGACAGAAACTGAAGACTGACAGAAGAGTTTGTGTGAAGTGTGTGTGACGAGCCAGTGTACTGTGAGTGCGTAGTGTGTACCGACAGAAGAGAGTGGTTAGCCCAGACAGAGAGACATACAGGTCTACATTCTGGTGAGAGTGGTAGCACTAAATGAGTGACTGTGAAACGACTTGTTCAATATTTGTGTTCTAGTTATGTGAGATAGTAATAAAGTGACGTAGTAAGAATACTGCTTGAGGTCTTGATCACAACAGAGTGATTGGTCAGTGGGGCAGTCAGTTGGTCAGTCAGCAGGTTGGAAGACCAATCAGTAGATCACCTGGCCAGTTGGTCAGTTGGTCAGTCAGTTAGTTACAGTACTTTCTTTCCAGGAATCTGTAACTGAACTTACACTCATACCAGAGATTAGAAGGTGAACAGATATGTTTTATTAACATGTAAGGAAAGGAACACTGATGACAGTAAAGTCAGAATATATAAAACTGCTTTAAAGATTAAACAGTCATTCTGTACCAGTGATTATCTATACTTCCCATGTTAAGGCAAGTTGGAATACCTCCACCATAGCCCTGCAAGTCGCAGAAGGCGACAGAAAGGGAACCTGATGACTGGGGATATAACTGGACCACAGTGACACTAGGAGACATAAATACAAAGACCTGGTCCTCCAGCTTGTGGTTTGGTTGCAAGGCTGATAACCTTGCTATGTAAAAAAAAAATTACAATTGAGAAATCCAAAGATGTGAAAACAGGATGACATAATTTGCAACGGAATATGCAAATCTGTTTTGCCAGGGATGACTTATTAATACTGTGATGGGATGTCTAAAACTCACAGACTGTGGAATGTTGGAATCACAGAAATATCACATAGTCTCCTATATACGAGACAAAACACAGTCAAGGTACTGTTGGGAACAATGTTGCCTATGCTGTCTGCAACAAGTCTATATAAAGAAATACACTAGGCTAGTCTTTGTTCTGGTTCTCCTGCCCAAGCCTGCTCTTAGTTACCAATTACCTCAGTGCAACAAGGGACTATATTTGTGACAAGAAATCACTGAGTTACCAAGCTCAGGGTGTCAAGCAGCCAATGGAACACAACGGAATATTTGTAATCACTTGTACATAAGAAGAACTAGTGCAAAAGGAATACTTTTCCAACCCAAACCTGTTGTGTAGTCATTATATTTAGAATATTTAGAAAATGATTACAATTAGGATGCAAAATAAAATATGGTTGGAGGAGGTATCAGAAACAAAGATCATGTTAGTGTGGTTAGTTATATGTGAAAAGTCTATTATTTGGTATATTAACTAGAGAAACATGGTCATTGCTGGTGTGTTACAAACATTACTTTAATGGGACAGGAATGATTAACATATTCAATAACATAATTTGCTGGATTCCTGGTGACACGTAAGTTTCAATGAGCTTGGAATTTGAGGTCTGTCAAAAAACCTGACTGATTCTATAAGAACAATGCATCGTTATTAACCTTCAGCCAATGTGGTCATCCTCACAGTACTTGCTTTCAGATTTCTGACTATCCCTCAATCTCTTTTCATACATCTGGATCAATTACTAAGGTTTTCAGAAAGCCAGAGATATTTCCATCTACTAGTCTTCCTTCCTTACCATATTGAAACTACTTAAATCAAACAAAACCCTGTTCTTCTCACTGCTCCTTCTACATTATATTGATGCAACATTCTGTAAATATTCATGACTAGTTTCTTCTGTTTCACTGAAGATATGACATTCATTCTCTGTTCTCACAGTATATCATCCACGTTTCCACAAAGAAAACAACACACCAACAAAACATTTATTGCAGCCACAAAGCAAACTAAACATGTGTGAGAATGACAGTTTCAGTCTGACACAAGACTGAGATGATCATTTGGAAAAACTTCAAGAATCAAGATGAAAATGAGAATTTTCAATAGCAGGCCAGTTTTTCTGCTGTAATAATTTAAAACATCAGCCACTTTTTCATGGTGCACCAAAGTGTCACATAATAATAATTTTCTGAATGAAAGATTTTCCAAATGTAGACAACTTTGAACTAGGAAACATGTCTGCACAGAAAAAGTAATTTCATTAATCTATTTCATAATCTTACTACCAACATATGAAAGAAAATTAATAATAGAAAACGTGTTATTCCGAAGTGTATTAAATTTATTGACTTACTTTCCTGCTTGAAGTCACTAGCCTGCCTAATCAACATAGTCCTAAACTATGAACCATCACTGCAGCAATGAATACTTCTTGACATATTATTCCTTTCTAAATAATATTTCTTTTCATGACATAACCTGCCATTTATAAGTTTGGCAACACTTGTGTCAGCACAAAATCTTGTGATACCACAATCAATAAATTATAATTTTTGTTTTGTAACTTCAGTACTTCCTGCAACCTCAATGAAGTTTGTGGTCACTCTCACATAATATGATAATGGGAAATAATGTGATCTTTACTGTGAGCATGATAAATGCTTTAAATGGATTAAAACATCTTGCATGCATGTGCACACACACAAAATTCAGATTCATGATGACAGCCTGTTGATTTCTACCCCAAAGGGGGGAAAATACTTATCTTCCATTTGGGAAATTATGATAATGATCTCTTTCAGCATGGCCCTCTCATGTAAGTAAAACCAGTGATCAGAAAATTCTTCAATTCAAGAAAGAAAGATCAATGTTCAAATTGAGACCCAAGTCTTTTTCTCAATTCAATCTAAAAAATTTGAGGCACACATGCCTCAAACAAACTGAAACAGAACAACAACTCTCTGATACAAAGCTTCTGAATCATGTATTCACACAATACAATATATACCAGTTCATCCAGGTTGTCATTTGCCACACAAAACTGTCTAGTTATTGAACTGTCAGACTTCAAACATTATTCCCATCTGTAATACCTGAAAAAAAAGTTATTACAGAAGAACTAGGTAGAGTAAAATTTACATGGACTGGGGCCTGGCATAAAATCCGTTGTCCAAGAAGGTGATTAGTGGATGATAACCCTCAGATTCTAAGAAACAGGCATATTTGACCAGTTGAATAAATATCTACTGCTCAAATAAGACCCTTAGCTACAAAGTTAGTTACTTAATTAGAAAACAAAATGGTCTTACATGGTACATTGCAAACCCAATGGTAAGTAACTCAGTGCCCATCTTGCGCTGTGACCTGTGAATCTTTTGCATCAGCGCTACAATGACAGTGCATTTGTCATCATCATCCTCTTCATCAGGATCCTCCAGTGTGATGCGATACTGTGGGTTGTGCCAAAATGTTTCTGTAACAAAAGAAAAACAACGCAATCTATCTGGCAGATTTCTTTCAGATTTTCACTGCTCAACCTACATCATGTCTGCAAGTGTTTGAGGGAGTGTTATATCGTGTTATATCTTGTACAGCTCTCTTTCTCTATTTAAAAAATTTGATCTCCTAGCTGTTTTTATATCCAAGAAAGTACAGCAACCTGGTATCCTTTTTTAAATTTCTGTATCATCATTCTAGTAAATTGTAATGACAACTTTCTAGTTTTCCATGCTGTCTAAAATGTCACTTTCTGATAGACTCAACTACACATATTTATCAGTCAACTAATGTAGTACAAACTTTCAAATCTGATGTGGAGAAAAATAAGTTCCATGCACTCCAGTTGATGGAGGAGAGATACCATGATACCATGGATATATTCTGAGAATCTGAATCTTCACCACAGTGTTCCACACATCAGCCTGGCGGACTTACTTTGAAACAGTCCCACCTGCCAAAGGACTAGAAATGCAACTACACAGAAAAACCCACAATACTTCCTCAAATTATATTCAAATGATCACATGTATAGGTCATCTGAAAAACTGTCCTTTCCTCCACACATTGGTATGTGTCTTGTGCATCAGTTTTGTTAACTGCTCCTTGCCTTGTTATATTTGCATTTAATTCCTGACCTATAATTCGATCCAAAATATAGACAAATGCAGAGCAATCACGCTGTAGAAACACATCCGAATCCATTATGTATACAACTGACAATCTGAACTAAAAAATTACTACTTTTCAGCAATATAAATAGTATTTTGCAGAAGAAAATTTATATTTAGTACATGGTATATACAGTTGAATGTTAGAATGAAGAATGGTGTGGCCTAGTAATATTACGTAAATTTGTTGAAGGAAATCATAAACACTATTTTTAAAATCATACAATAATGATCTCAATGAATGCTAGTCTCTTGGCATCAGAAATGGGTCGTCATTTATACTACAGTGCAAATGGAAACAAGTCTAGTAAAAACACATCCAGATAAATGCTCACCAAGGTAGTTCCTGCAGCCTCCAGCAGTGACGCCTCGGACCCATTCACACTCAAACATGCTCATCTCCCACTTTCTCTTGTGTGATCTGAGCAGTTCCTCCTCAGTCAGTGAATCTGGATTCAGGTTGCATATCTCAAGTCGTGAGAAATGTTTCTGAAAATCCTTGTATGACATCCAGAACTCACCATCCTCATCAAATGTGAGGCCAATCTCTTCCTTCTCCTTATCTGGAATTACTCTCCACTCGGGGGACCTAAGCAAGAGGATAGGTAGAACACACACTTCTTACAATTCTAATATTCCTGTACCGAAAATTTCCATGCCTAGCACAAATCACATGTTTCTGTTCCTGGGAACTTTCGATCTGTAACATTCACAAATGGCATACAATAAACTGCATAAAGTGCCACCTACTGACAGACATATCTAACTACTTGTAAAATTCTACCAGTCACCCATGAAAAATAAGATATTTGTTAAGCATGTTATTTAGAATGAAAAAGGTACTCTTGAAGACACATGATGATACGGCCTCATAGGACATGGAAAGTGAATTAATGACCATTTTTTGAACACTGTAATATTTTTAAAATTCCTAAAAACATTCATCATACAGAGGTAGGTTCACTCCAAACAGAGGGCTAATTTACATTTTGCAAACAAAACGTGCAAGATCTCTGAACACACAAACTTCAGGACCATACAGTTAACAACACTAGTGTTGATAATATCTTTCTATGGTCAGAGACCAATTGGTTGGGTACAGGCACATATGCATATGATGACAACATACGAAAACTGTAGCAAATCTTTTTCAGAAATGGTACATTCACTCACTTGTCACTCCATGGTCCATTCCACTCAGCCTCATTACCCCATGGGTTACGTATTCTGATGAGAGGGATTTTCCGTGATCTGTGTTGTGTCTTGATGTCAACATATTTCACCTTTGTTACACTGTAGGCATGTCCCTTGATGAGGCCCTCTGGTGTCTGCGCTTCCACAACATTTGGATCAGGCTACAAATTAATGCAAAAAATGGTCAGGATTCATTCATTGATAAAAGGGATGTCAGTAAACATTACATAAATATTAATCTCCTTAGTGGCCACAAAGTTTGTCCAAAACATATTCTGATATGTTCATGTTAAGGTGTGGTATAGAGGAAATAATAAAACTCCTTGAACTTCATAATATATACTCTTCACATAATGTTGTTAGGAGAATTAAATCAAGGAGGATTAAATGGGAAAGATATGTGGCACACATGAGGAAATGACAAATGCATACCAAATTTTGGTCAGAATTATGACACTGTGACATGGGATATTGCAGCTGGTACAAAAACTGGCTACAAGGTTGGATGGTCCAGGAGTTGGAGTTTTAGTCCTGATAGGAGCAAGATTTTTCTCCTCTCCATGTCATACAGACTGGCTCTGGGCCCACCCAGCCTCCTATTCAATTGCTATTGGGGGTCCTTTCCCTGAAGGTAAACCAGCTGGGTTGATATTTCTGAAGGGTGATGAACCTTCAGGTTCCACAAAAGCAGAAAGTTTCTTGCTCATATAAGTAACTGCCAAATGCTGAACTATGGAGGAAAATGTGTAATGTGATCTATCTGCTACATAATAAACATACTGTTCTATACCTCAATTGAACAGCCCATCAGTGATGAGCGCTCATATGCCTTCAACATGATCCTGTACATGTTTCGAGGTGCTTGGCTCAACTCATAATTCTCTGTCACTCCCCCTGTGAAATCCACCATTGCTTCGCATGTTGTGCCCCCTCTCAGTGCCTCATATGATCCATGTAGCCTGAAATCATACATTATGCACATAAACTAATGTGGGGGACATGTGGTAGCATAGTTGGTTAAGGCACTATGCTACTTGAAGGTTCAGTTCCTAATGAGGTAACTGTTCTTTTTTTTTCAATTGGCCTAATCCTTCCAAACACACTATGTTCCTGGGGTTGACCCATGCAGCTCATGCACCTCCTTTGATTTATGACTTTTTGGCCAACATGAACATAATTGTGCTTCCTCAGCCACCCTAATCACCTGACCTTGATCTGGCAGACTTTTTCTTATTTCCCTAACTGAAATCACGAATCAGTAACAATGCATGAGCTGGCGCATTGTCATGATGGAGGAACCAGGAATTGTTTCTCCACCACTGAGCTCTTTTTCTCCTGGCATTTTCTCTTAGGCGTTTCAGCACATTTAGATAATATCAGCAATTCACTGTTTGCCCCTGACATAAGAATTTATGATGCACAACACCCTCGGTGTCAAGAAAGAAATGTCACCATGATTTTCACACTCATGAATATCAGCCATCCCAAATATCGCAAGCACATGAACAAATAGCTGTAGGGCGATGAATTATCACAGGAGGGGGATGCGGCAAAAAGGACGATAATTAGAATGCACACCTCTAGGCAACACAACCTACCCGATATTGCTAATTTGTTGAGTTGATGCGCTATTTCAAAAGATCTAGAACATTTTGAATAGACCACATATGTGCAAAAATGCATGTGGATCATTATGTAAACCAGTCATCTCTGTTTCACAATTTTTCAAACAATCTCTGTTATTTCCGTTACACCTTTCCAGTTCTTGCAGTATATCATGCGTACAAGCAGCTGGATGGTCTGTGTAATACTAACAGGCTGGGGTTGCAAATCCGCCTACAGAGCAACCTACAGAGCAACATAACAATTACAAGAACTGGTGATTTAAATCATTCAGTCAGTATAATATTATACTTTTTTTGGCTTATTTTGGACTTTACCCATCGTCTGGTATGTAAAAGACCACAACGTTTCGGAGACTGGATCTGTCTCCGTCTTCAGGTGGGCGGGGAAGAATAAACCTACTCAGTTGAGCCCGTTAGAAAGAGATAGTCTCAATCACTGCGCAAATCCCTGTCTGTAGAAAACAACCTATGAACACCCGACAACCGGTTCCATTAGTGGGAGATAAGAATAGAATCACAGTAAAAGACATGATAGAAAATTTGTGCCTAATCTGTGTGGATAAAGAATCGTGCCACCATGTGACTTCCGGGAATCAGACTAATCCCCGGAGCAAAACTTGCAGAAGTAGTGGAAGCCACTAATATTCATAAAAACTTACATTTTTGATTTGTTAACCTCTTCATTAATGAGGGGAATCCATATGGGAGAAATATCCAAACCAGGTTGGCTGATCGGATTGGTTGAACATGCCATATGAGCTGATTCTTTGTACTTTCTGTATCTGCTGTTACTTTCAACCTCAAAGATCCAGCTTACTCTATGACCTTCTTCATATGCATGCTGAGCCAACCTTGATTTCTCTAGAAGACCCTTCTTTAGATTGTGCCTGTGTTCACGGATTCGCACGGCCAGCGGTCTGCCTGTTTCACAAATGTAGCTTCTGCCACATTCACAGGGAATGCTATAGACGCACTGTGCCGTCTGTTGAGGATCCCTTTGTGGTTTCGTTCCCACGGGCGAAGATTGTAAAGTGTGTCTAGCTTTGAAGACGGTCCTAACAGTATACTGGTTCCCTATGACCCTGAACTTCTCAGAGATGCCCTTGACATACGGGATATAAACCGTGCCAAGAGGCTTTTCCTCTTTTTTCTTTTGATGACTACTACCCTTGGACCAGATAACCGAGTCAATAAAGCCTTGAGAATAACCACTCAGTTGAAGGTCGCGTTTCAGATTGTTAACCTCCAACACCCAGCCTTGCCGGTCTTGGCATATAGTGGTAGCTCTATCATGAAGACTGAGAACAATTCCTCTTTTGACATGCGGGGGGTGATTGGAATTGAAATTAAGATATCGGCCAGTGTGAAGTGGGTTTCCTGTAAACTTTCGTGGTCAGAGCCGTTCCTTTTTTCATGACCAGAACGTCCACGAAGGGGATCGTTCCCTCCGATTCTGTTTCCATGGTAAACTGGATTGCCGGTCTCAGACTGTTGAGATGTGTTGCCCTGGTGGCACGATTCTTTATTCACACAGATTAGGCATGCATTATCCAAGTTTTTACTTTCGATTTTAACTGAATTCCTGGAATTTAATCTATATTTCTGTTTTTTTTTACATTGTTGACATGTGCATGCTTGGCACAAATTTTCTATCATGTCTTTTACTGTCATTTTATTCTTATCTCCCACTGATGGAACCGGTTGTCGGGTGTTCATAGGTTGTTTTCTACAGACAGGGATTTGTCCAGTGATTGATGCTAGCTCTTTCTAACGGGCCCAACTGAGTATGTTTATCCTTTCCCACCCACCTGAAGACGGAGAGAGATCCAGTCTCCAAAACGTCGTGGTCTTTTGTCTTTTACATATGAGACGATGGATGAAGTCAAAAACAAGCCAAAAGAAGTACAGTATACACCATCGTCAGAATCCTTTGAAGTCTAATACTACTTTTTTTTTCTTGGCCCTACAGCCCCAGTGGGCTCAGGCCTACCTCCATGAACTTCTCCGTTCACTTCGGTTTTTTTAGATTTTACACATTTGGTAGGACTCCTTGGGCGGGTGATCAGCTCGTTGCAAGGCAACATCCATGCCCTGAGTGGGATTCGAACCCACGAGATAGGTGAGATTTATAGGAAGAGATACTTGGATCATAAGTGAAACGAAGACTAGGATGACTGAGACTGAATCATTTCACAGTATTAAAAGGTATGTGCTGACAGGATAAAAGATATCAGGATAAAAACTATATCTCAAAAGACTATAAACTAAGCATATTGGTGTAGCAGCTGTAATGAATACTCTTTTAACTTCTATTCAAAAGGTTCTTTCCAGTCTGAATTCTTGATTGGCTGCCATCTTTAATGATTATAACTGACAGCCTGCAGGAAACTGTTTTGGTGTTTTGGCAGTAGTTCCATGTGCTACTTATATCATAGTAATATGCATATATCTGGGCTCACAGTGTAGTCAGCAAACCAACGGCATATACCCACTGAAATTCATCTTCATTATCACCCCAATAAATCACTGAATCGCTAGTGTGAATCAACCTTATGCATTCCATACCATTCTACACACAATTCCTGAGTCTCATGTTTGTACTGTTGCTGTATTTGCCACACTCAATAAGCATTTATGACTCAGCCATGTTATTCTCTGTGTCAAAACGCCACATTTCATTTACACTTTGGAGCAACAAGTGTTTATGGAGTATACATTTGTGAAAAGTAGTTGTGTAAGAAAAGCAGAAAATTTTGGCCTAGATTTCAGGATGTTACAGATCCATTAAAAAAAAACTACTACCCACAAAGTCATGAATACATTTAAGCAGACAAAGTCCTTACTGGACTAAAAAACATTTGAATCGAGACACTGAATGTTCACTGAAGAGAAATGGGATGAAATCATTGTTAGGCTTGAACATTACCCTTGTTAAGTCCCTCAGAGACCTTGCATAGGTGATGTTTTATTTCAACTTTACTGTTTCTGAAAAGGAACTTAAACACATGAAGTGCAAAGAAAGTATGCATAACAACAGTGATCATATCTGGCATCTGAATGATGTGAATGGGTTTCGTTTACAATTTGTTGGCCTACAGGGTCATCAATTGTTCTGCACTGAAAGAGTTGACATGAGGACCTTACATATCTTGTGCTGGATTGGCCAAAGATTTAAGTCAGGCTATCAAATAACCTCCTGCAGTGGTTACAGGATCCAAGCAAAATAAAAGAGATAATCTAAACAATATGTGAAGCCAGCAGGCATTTCAGGAACAAAATGAGTGAATAACTGAAAGACAAAATTAATGAACTTGCGAGATCAGTATGAACAAGAACACTAGACACTTCTAAATAGGCATAAATTAACTTAAGAGGTGTTGCCACCCTACAAGTAACTCAGTAAAGATTAAGTGGCGATATGTTCACAGATTCCCACAATATTTTGAATAAGTGGGCTATTTCCACATCCTAGGTTTTTTGCCTGTATAAATATATGGAAAATAAATGAAATGAATGAATGAATGAAAAAGAAGTAACTCTTTCAGTTATTGAATGTACATATGGTCAGCAAAGATAGAAATGCATACAGCTGAGCCATCAGTACCTGATCCTAGCACTTTTGAGGTTGAAATTGCTATTTCAAAGTTCAAAAGGCATAAACCACCAAGTAGTAATAAAATTCTGGCAGAACTGATTCAAACAGGAGGTGAAACATTAAAGTCTTAAGATCCAAAAACTCGTTAATTCTATTTGGAATAAGGAAGAATTGTCTGATCAGAGGAAGGAGTCTATTAGAAACAAATAAACTCCACGGCTTGTAGTCCGCAAGCAAATGGCGATACCAGATTTTTTCAGAAGTAGTGGGTCTGGAACGGGGTCAACTCAACCTCGTGAGGATAATTGAGGAGCTATTTCAAGGAAATAGCAGCTCCAGTCTAGAACACCGAGATTAACGGCCATGGAGGTCCATTGCCCTGACCACGTGACACCCTCCATCCACAAAAGTTGGCACTAACTTCGCTGACAAGCGGCAGTCGCTCAGTTGGAAGGAAAGGTAATAAAACTGAGGGTAGTAAATATTGTGGGATATCACTACTGTCAACGTCATACAAAATTTTATAAAATATCCTTCTCTCAAGGCTAGGTGCATATAAATGAAATTACTGGGAATCATCAGGGCGGGTTTTGATGTAATAGACCAAGTACTGATCAGATTTTTTGCATTCTTTAGATACTGGGGGAAGAATGGGAGTACAATATCACAGTACTCGTACATCAGCTAATCACAGACTTCAAGAAAGCCTATGATTCAGTTAAGAGGGAAGTATTGTAAA